AGAAAACTCATGAGATCATATCCGGTCATTTCTTTGGGTTCTTTTTCAGGTTGATGAGTTTGCAGCGAAGGTGACGGTCTCTGGCCCTCTTTATTTATTTATTTATTTTTTTTAATTTGACTGTGTTCTGTTTGTTGTTGTTATAACACACGTCTTAGGTTTCTGATGTAGGAACCTAGCATGCCCTGTAGACTGAACCCTACTAGCTCTGGTCCTGGAGAACTGTGGTCGAACGAGCAGGCTTTTGTTCCACTTGACCATCGAAACGTTTAGGTTTATCTGCAGGAAACTGGTTGAAAATCCTTTTTTTTTTGCAGTTTGTTCCTAGTTTGAATGTTGGTTTTCAGAAAAAAGAAACACTTGAAAATGCAAGTGTGAGAAACAAGACAGATTAAGTGTGTAAACAGTAGGAAATGGCTGTTTTATTTGGAAATTACATGAGCAACGTCTATTGCAAGCTATGGATTTAATCACCACCTGGTAATGGGAACAGAAACATTTTTGTTTTAGAGAAAGTGCAGGAATAGGTGAAAATTAAATCAAAATAAAACAAAAAATAATTCCAGATTATTGTGATAAATGATTGGAAACTTTGCTTCCTTTTTATCTTTATTCCATGGTCTTATTTTGGGTTTAAGTAATGTTTAATCTCTGAGATGATGGCAGGAGCTAAAGCCTGTTCAGAAGTTTCTTCACGACCACATTTAGGTCTAACAAAAACCTTCCAACTCCCCCGTCACAGGGCTGCATCTGGTTTTTCAGGTGGCATTATGAAAATCTCAAATGCATGATGGAAAACAAGAGAAAGTCTGTTTGTTCTCTTTAAGCTGTGACATTTTGACGGGGACAAAGAAAAAGCCACTTAAAATGAGACGGATGCCTCCTCCTGTGCTTCTAACTGCAGGTTAATTAGATTTTTTGGATTAGTGCAACACTGATAAAGATCTGAATCCACTTTCTTCTGTTTCTACAATAAGTCTTTATAGATCAAATATTTAAAATGTGCATTTCAGAAATTTGATTTATAATCTATAGTTGTTGTTTTGTTTTTTTACCGTAAAGGTGGTGTTGACCTTCGTTTCTTTAATATCCTTCACTTCTTTTTTTTTTAACCTCATCAAATCCCACATTTATTGAAGTGCACCGCTGTTTTAAGCTGATTCCACTTACATCAGAAACCTTTTTATGTTTATCCGGTTGAAGCACAATGCCTGATTAATACCTTTTTTGCACTTAATAACTAAGAGAGATGGTGCTATGAGCAACTTGCTGTACGAAGACATGAATGGCTGGCTAGGATGAGCATCTGACATGCAGCCTGATTTCGGTCAATCAGAAAGAAAAACCTTTGGTTAATGTGTCAGGAGGGCCTGCTCACAGACAGGAATGGGATGCATGTAAAAGCATTTAACAGGACAAGACTGGCTGCAAATGTAACATCTGCTGATAGGCATGAACTGTGCAGCTTCTTCTTTACTAAATCTGTAATATATTTAACTGTGGTACCTGTATTGTAAGGGGTCAGTTCACACATTCATTAACCCTGCTTGGATTTGACTCCTGACTTGGTTTTGGTGCAAACAGAGTCACATAATTTGATTATAGAACTATAAAACTACCCTCTGCTGAATGTCAACTCAAATCATCAATAAATTCTTGAATTCATTCACAAATCCTGATTGTGGTCTTGAATTATCTTTATTCTAGTTGAACTGACCCTTTAATTGTTCACTAAACATGGAAACTGTTTTTAGAAGTTCTCATCAGACCTGCATGTTGTCTTTCCTTTGGTTACTAGTTGCAGTAGTGACATAGTGCGTGTGTAGTTTCTGTCTTTTAAGGTGAAGATTTAATAAATCTAACCGATGTGGCACTTAGTCTGGATTTATTAACCTGAAGGAAAACAAAGTGTTTAGTCTTATCACACGACAGGAGATTTAGAGTTTAGATTTATACATTTTGTGGAGAAAAAAAGATCAAGTGAGTTTAAGTATATTCTTTAGTAGAAAGATGTCTGCAGTGTGTCTATATTAAATATGGATTCTGAATAGTTTGAGTGATGTCTCATTGTCTTATTTTCCCTTCAGGTGGACAAACTGGAGGAGGCGGAAAGCAAAAGAAAATCTGAGGATGACGTAAAAGAGCCTCAGACGATGTTTGGTAAGTTTCAGAGAAAAGTTGATCAGTTTTATCCAAGGTCAATGTGTTTAACAAATGATTGTTAAACTGTGCAGCGTGGTGTTTTTTGGATACTTGCATTGTTTCTCCATTATTAACCCAGTAAACGTGTGACTGTTTGTGTCGTCAGGCCAACAGCTGATGCTGACCGCCGGTGCCACTCCCGTCACTCCTGTCGCCCCTGTGACTCCTCAGTCGGCGTACCCGGGTTACGCCTACCCCTCCCCAGCCGCCGGTTACCCCGCGCCGCCGGCGTACGGCTTCAACATGTAGACTCCCAACTGTTCGTCCTCTTCCTGTAGTCGCTCCTGTTGTCCCCTCCTGTGCTGCTCCGGGTCTCGGCTGATGGCGTGGAGACCTTCGCCTCCCCCAGCAAGACTCCACCCACTCACTGAAACTACAGTAGAAACCTTCACCTTGAGTTTCGCCATGCTGTTGTTGAGACGTTGCCATAAGAAACACTAAAGACATGGAGGTGGTTTGAACCCCCCCCCCCCCTTTTTTTTTTTTTTTTTTTTTGTTGTACATCAGCACCACAGATATAAAACAGCATGAAGTCGCCTCTCAGCTGCTGGAAGATTAGGCGTTACCATTTTAGTTCCACCAAACCACTCTGTTTTTGTGCTGTTCCACGTTGACTTTATCACCCAGCTTGTTTTGTGTCAATTTCTTTTAGCACTGATTAAGAAGAGACTTAAATGAGGAGTGAAGGGGGGAAGGAGGGAGCGTGTGTTTGTCTCTCCCTCCCTCCAGAAGCACTGTAGCTGCCTCACCAGGTGGCAGCTTCACGTTAAAACTCACAACTGTCTCATGCTCTGATTAGAACGACAGTTTCTGTGCAATAGTTTCATTTGTCTTTTCACAAACCGGTACAAGTGTGTGCTGCATACAGACTAAAGACGTTTGTTAATAAGGGTTACAGTCTGAATGTGTGTGCCAGTCCAGGAGATTTAGAGAAAATTTAAATATTTTTCAGCTGCAAACCTATTGCGAGTGATCTTGTCTGTTGACTTTTTGAATCTGGACATCTGGAGTTTCATGATGAATTTAATTAAAAGATGAAAAAGGAAAAGACGTAAGCAGCGACATGGTAAAAGAACAGTTTGTGCATGTGCCGCCAAATGATAAAAATACTGCAACCAAGAGCACAAATTCACATTACACAAGTATTACTGATGTTGTGTCAAAAGCTAAGTCATGTACGAAGAAACTTTTCCATCAAACTAACAAAAAGAAGAAAAAAAAATGGTGAAGCTTCAAGTCTCAAGGAGTTAAATATTATTGTACTTACAACAGTGTATAATTTAAATATGATGAAATACCTAACAAAATAAAAAAGCAGAATAGTATGGAACACATGTATTGTCTATGAAGTGTTGTAGTCTAAAAGTATAATTTCTTTTTTGTAAGAAAAGAACAAAACAAAAACATTTAGCTGAATAAACGGCAAAGTCATGAGACAAAATCTGCTCAAAGTGGTGTCAAGTTTTAGTTGTTTGAATGTTGAGTCTGTGTTGCACTATTTTTATTTGTATGTCTAAGGGCCCTGCCACACTACACAACTTATGCCAACTTTTGAAACATTTTTATGTCTAAATTGCTAATAGTTATATGTTTGGTCAGTTTGTTAGAAATTACATTATGTACATGCCGAAAAGAAGCTTCCTGTTGATTTTTTTTCAATTCCATCTTCAACGTAGATGTCTTTAAAGTGTTCATAAGTTGTCTAGTGTGACAGGGCCTTTACAGTTTAACTACTGTATAATTTATTCTTTTTATTTAGCCATTCATGTATCAATACTTTCAGCTCATTTAGGAGAAAAGTGTTACATTTTAGCTGTGTAACTGTTGCACTTTTCAAAATATTCAACTTTATTTACAAATATTATCTACACACAAATTCAAAATAGTTGCTATTTAAAGAACTTTGTTTCGGTCTTATGATACTTTGAGGTTTTAGCATTCATTTAGCTACTTTGGGTCTAGCTAGCATTTTGAAACTCGGCTAGCTTTTAGTTTCTTTAATGTTTAATAWCAGCTAGCATTTTGTTACTTTTTGCTTTTAGCTAGAGCATACTTTGAGTATTTAGCTCAATGTTTAATTAGCCTTTTGACCCAGCTAGCATTTTGCTACTTTTTTGCTTCTGGTTAGCTTTTTGATACTTTTGGCTATCCCTTTTCATGCTTGCTAAAATGTAATTTTTTATACTTTTRACTAGCATTTTGCTAGTTTCAGCTTTTAGTTGTTTTTGTGGTTATAACCACAGTTTTAGCTGTTTTAAGCAATGTCATTCAGCACAGTAGCAGCAGCACAACTCTAAACAGGAATAATAGTTCACTCACGTGGTTGGGCGGAAGTTTGTGTTTAACGCCATTTTCTCTCATGTTTCCTTGCTGCATCATTTTGCTGACAGAGCTGCCAGGCTGGGACATGATTGATGGTTTCTGTGTCGTTGAGGGTGTGAGCTGCTGTGGGAGAACCACGTTAGTTTTTGGAAGATAAGAGTTGACAAAAACGAGTTTTATTTCTCACCCACCCTGACTGAGAGGTCTTTAGTGGCACGCGAGCAGAGCCCCGCCCTGTTTACTTCTTAAAAAAAAAAAAGACCGTACTGTACCTTTTTAAACGAAATCTTTTGGCTCCGTTTTGCCCCGAAGACTGTTTGGGCTTTAAAATTAGCTGGGACTAATTACAATTTATTGCGTTATTACGCTCCAAACACACATTTGTCTATCATTACTTCCGGTTTGCTTGCGCTTTCGCGCGCTCGACCCACAGCGTTGCCATGGCTACAGTCAACATATAATGGTGAAACGGTTGATYTCAACTTCCTGGTTTGTTTCCGCCCACTGACATCCCGGAGGCTCCGGGGCTCAGCSAGCAGATCGTTCGCATCCAGCAGCGCGCACGAGCGTCCCGTGCTGCGACCTTAAACTTGAAGAAACACCTGGAGACAAATCCGCCTCGTGTCAAAAAGACTTTTTGGGGAGTTTTCCGCGTAAATCATGCAGGACGGAGGCAGGTTTTTCARCCCTTTCCCCACACCGAGGTGTCTGGCTGCAGCTGCGCCGGCTGGGAAAGCGAAACTAACTCACCCAGGAAAAGCCATCCTGGCAGGTAAGTTCATCCTCATCTGTCCCGCCGAGGAGCGTAAATCTTACCTGGTTTACAGGTGAGAGGAAAGGTTTAGGAAAGAAAAAAAGGCTTTAGGTTTTATGTGTAAATTCTGGATCTGGTGCGCAGCGGAAACAGTTCAGGAAATTTTTCTAAAACAAATTTATTACTCTAGAATCATGCTAAAGGATGCTTTTAAGAAAAAATTACTGTCTTTGAACATGTAAAAGTTTATTTCAGTAAAATAGTAAATAAAAATCATAAATTTAAYGTTTTTTTTAATGGTGTTTCAATGGGGATGAATAAAACATCCATCCATGCATTTCTATATGACATTGTTGTAGCTCAGTACTTTCAGGTTTAGGACATTTGCAAATGTGTGCAAGCTAAAATACACTGATTAATAATAATAATAATTTAGCATTATTTTCCACCATGGTCCCAAATACTGTGTGCTTCTGTTTCAAACTGACTTTTATCTCCAGTCCTGGTTCTGGTTGGGTTTTCCTGCTGCAAACGTTTCAGTTTCTCCATCCTTCAGGGCGGTTTAAGAGCYGCCATCACATCCCAGTGAGTCTCATCTTTGTGTGATCACACTTTGTATTCCTGATTTAATTTATCTGAAGGAAAGAAATCAATGAACATCTGATTACCTGAAACTATTACCCCATCCATTATATATTGTTTATTTTTCATAAAATGTTTTTTTTTTAATTTGGAATTTGGAATGAATTTGCACCAGCAGACCCTAAAGCAATTGCAGATATTTAATCAAATATGAAACAGGAATCTATCTTTGCTTTAACTGTTTTTGTTTTGATTCCTAAGGATAATTAAATCAGCAGGTTTAGTTTTATTTTTAACTCTTATCTCTGCACTTAATCAGCAGCCTCCCCCCACCCCCCCCTCTGGTCGACCCCTGATGATGATGAGGCTGCAGCAGCTCTGATGATGAAGACTCTTTAGGAGCTTCTGTATGGAGGACACACGCTGGTATTTGGCAGCACTCTGCTGATTTCACCTCGCTGCTCTGGCAGCCRTCACTCCCYGAATGTTTTATTTGGTTCTGAGTGAACAAACAAGTTCTGACTGCAGCTGAGAATTAACATTATTATGAAATATAAACAGCACATTTTAACAATTAATGTCTACATATAATAAAAAAGAAAAAAGTTTAAAAATTTCTTATGCAGAAAAATGACAAAACGTCAAATGGTTAGATGGCTGAGGTGGCCAACTTAAATTGGATTAACTCCAAAAATAAATGAATTATAGCTGCACGTCTGAAGATTACATTTTGAGTTTCATTTAAATATGTCCAGTGTTTTACGAGTTATTTTGCTAACACTAGTTGACACCAACARTTACAGGTAAAAACATGACGCAATGCGTAGTACTCAAAGTATTTGTTGGGCACAATGCCAACGTTAGCTCAATATTTGTAAAAATAAGTAAGTTGTAACCATTTCTGTGTTTCTAAGAACAAGTTTGTGGTGGCCATTTTCAATGACTCCAAACGCACATCTAATGATGATTTTTATTAAAATCTCTCTTRTRGTTTAAAATATATTTTGCTAACAGACAAATAACAGGGACACTGGCTGAAACATAATTGTTCTGCGTTTGGAGGCAGGAGATGAATAATATTCTTAGCCTGAAATCACAAAATGTTTAATATGTTTATAAGCTTTATTAGCCAGAATAGCTCTGTAAATGTTGACGGTGTAAATGAAGAAAAAAAACTTACCTTCATATATGTTTCACTTAATCTGTTTCAAAGGTCRTATTTTGTTATGAGAACAGGAATTTCTTGCTGATAAGAGTGTTCTGTTTAGGCTGGATCTTTGGACTTCAATAGAGCAAACTGAGACAGGGGCTCTGGATCCAGGCATTGCTCCTATTTTKTATTTTATTTTCTTATTTCAATTATTTTTTATCTCTATAATAAATACCAGAAAAGACAGTTGACTCGTTAAATTCTTGARTCCATTACTCCAATAAACCTACCACAATACTAACGATGGTTTTAAATGCCCACAGTTCAGATTAATCAACACTAAATGTCCATTAAAGTGTCCTAAAGCTAACAGAAGTGGGTGTTTGTTTCCTAACTGAGCTGATTTTATGTTCTTGCAGGATGTTTGGTAGCTGAGGTCTGAAAATCCTCCTGAACCTGCTTGTCAAGAACCGCAGGTTGAGCTTATTCAGCAGACAGATGTGTGGTGACGCCTGTTTAATGACGAGTTACACGTGTGCAAGAACATAGACTCACCGACTTTGAGAGCACTTGTGTTTTTCAGAGCATAAACGTAGGTTTATACTCGTCTGCTGCGAGGTTGTCGAGCCAGTTCTGTTTGTGTTTGAGGTGTTACATTGTGTCAGTGTCCTGTATATATGAGGATAGTGGTTTGGTTTTTAGGAGAAAACAAGAGGAAAACAGAATCTCCTGACTCACGTTGTTCTGAGCCGGGAAATGGGAACGTGCTGAGCCTGATTGACTGGTTCTGGCCCGGAGTCGATTCCCCATCTCGCTCCCCCTGCGCGGCCCGGCTCAAACCGGACCTGTCTGTTTTAGTTTCACAGCATCAGCACGGTTTCATTTGGAGTCTCCACTCGGCGCATCCTTCAGGCTCTGCTCTCATTAAAAGCCTTTCAAAGTAAAAGCGTGTCAGTGGACCAYGAGGTGGATTTGGGGACAATGGGCCTCATGCAAGAACCGTTCGTACGCACAGATTTGTTCTTAAGTTGTGCGTACGAGTGATTTAGGAGAATT